TCTAGGGTAAAATCTGTATTTCCAAACCTCTCTTTAACCCACTTCTATGTCCATGATAAAACGTTAATTTATTGTTTATGTTTTGTAAATTTAATAATAGTTATCATGTTTATTCCAAATTAGGGCAACTTTTACTAATGTGTTTCCAAGAGACATTGAAATGAGAAGAAAAGAGACTCTGACCTTGCCAAAGCACTCCAGGCAGGCATCCCAGAGGAAATGGGGCTTGAGCTGAAATTGGAAGGATACACATGAGGTGGATTGCTCAAGGAGAGGGAGGCAGAGAAGAGAGCCTGGGTAGATCCAGGATGGAGCCTTCCAAGAGCCAGGAAACTGACTTGTAGTCAGGAGTGTGGAATGCCAGATGAGTACAGTTCTGGGGGCCACATTAAGCAATTGTGTCTTCTTTGTAAAGGCCATGGAAGATGTCACAATATTTGGACCAGACCTCCCTGGCCTCAATTAGTCAATCTTATCAAAGAACTTCATATCTCTGTCTTTCCCAATAAGACTAACTTGGCTGCAGCAAATGGAATTGACACAAACATAAGCAAAATGCTTACCTGACATCTAGAGATGGCTCACAAGCTTACACTACTCTTTAAAAAAAAAAAAAAAAATTCACTTAGAATTGGTCTTTATGGAGCCAGGATAGTTGTATCCACCCTGTTCATTCCACTACACCTCCCTGCAGGCAAAACCCTACTTACAAGTTCATTGCTATACTCTGAGATGAAAAGTAGTACATGACACCGTATAGATTTTCTCACTGACTGAGGAACCTAATATTCAAATTTTGATATTCTAAATGGAGATTATCCAAGTCTTGTCTCTGTACCTCTATTTTGTAGACTGTCCACATGAACTGAGCAGAGTTTTTAATACAGAACAACGCACCTGCCAACATCTGAGCATAAGATAGAAATTTGTAAATCAAGAAAGAGGTACTTAATTTTAAAGGAAGTGCCCACGAACCACTGAAACACAGAAAGCAACCATGAACAGGCGTGACTCCTGAGGGACATGCCCTTGTCCCACGCCCCTGACCCATGTCCTTTTCTGCAAAAGTAACATGAGGTCAACCCACAGTGCAGGAAAAACCAGCACCAAATTGTATAACTCCACCTCTCTAGCCCAGTCCAAAGCAACTGTTCTATAAAGATTAACACCCTATACAAACAGGATGCTTTCTCTCCCTCTAAAGATGGCTCACATTCTGCCTTGAACATGGATTCCTTGCTTTACACCAAAGGCATCTCTATCTTGAGGTTGCCCCATACTTCCTTGAATGTGTATCTACTTTCCTAAATAAACCTCTGTCCATGCCTTTGACTGGCATGTGCTGAAATTTTTTCTGCCATAAATGCCAAGAGACCTGCTGATCCTAAGTTAAGTTCCCCCTTCTCTCTGGGATTTCCTGGGACCCTTCTTCAGAGAAATCTCTTCTCCAGGCAAAACCATCTTAAGTAAATGGCATTGACACTGCATATCAACTATCCAAAGGTTACTTAGTGTATGTTCAGCAAAGTATAAATTTATTTCTCAAATAAGCATCTTTTAATTCTTTATCTCTATAGAAATGCACATAACCCACTTTAAAAGATCTTGAATGATATACACAATGCTAAAAATGAGCTCTGAGAAAACTATGCAATATATATCATTTATTTTTAGGTTGAAATGGATAAAATCTAAATTAAGAGGCTAGTTACTAAGGTTACAAAAATGAGTGAAGAAAGTAAAAACAGTATTCAGTCAGTCCTATCAAATAACAAAAAACTTACTCAACAAGATATACTTTTATACAACACAATGGCCCCCAAGAGCTACATGTCTGCTAATCTAAACACATTCGTTCTTGTTTTTTCATCTATTGTATAAAAAATCTATTCCTAAATAAACATAAAACCCATTAGCACTATAAGCTGATAAAAATTAGGTATAAAACCTAGTAAAATGTTAATCTGGTGTTAAAAGAGAAAACAACGCATCATGATTTAATGATATTTGACTTTTTTCCAAGTTCCAAAGACCACACAAAGCATTTCAATCTTAAATGCCTGAAATTAGGTATTAAAAAAAATAGTACTTGAAAATCATATCAAACATTTGTGTAGTCCTTTACAATTCACAAAGTGCCTTAATTTACATTAGATCATTTAGAATAAGAGATCAAAGTGGAGGGACCAAGAATTAGACTTGTTTTGCCTAGAGAATGAAAGAGCAGGTGTAACTTCATACAAATCTTCAAACATATGAAAAGGTTTTTTAAATAATCAGAATGAAATGATAAAAGAGAAAACACGACAGGAATTTCTTCATGGAAAAAAAGATATATTAAAATATTACCTTGCTAAAAACATCTGTTGAAATGTATAAATAAGCTATTCAAGAGGTCAAAGTGGCTGCAATGTCCTAAATTGTTGGGTCTTGTGTCTTCTTAGAAAAGTCCATATTGGTCACATTTGAACTTTCCATTTAAGAGAAAAATCACATTCCTAAAAATTTTTGTTTTTAAAACTTGAATAAAATAGGTTATAACAACTTTGAATGCATCAGTATCCTAAGAAATAAGTGTTCTACATATTCTCAAAGATCCACCATGTAAACCTTCATATTTCAATGCTGCAATATCCCTATTAAAAGAGACCAGCACAGCTGGCTTCCATTATTAGTGAACTATCATTACTTCAGCTTAATTTGGATTTTACAAGTTATTTTCTTTATAGATCAGTAAGTCATAAACTAAAATAGGTGTCACAGTCTGTTTATAATCTCTTCACTTCCAGAATGCACAAGTATCTCAGTTCATTTTCATGCAGGAATTCTAAGCCATCATTTCTTTGAGTCTCTTGAGTAATACATGACAGAGTATAGAATAATAAATCACATTTTACTACTTATAGAATGGCAGAAGCCATGAGGCTATATATAATTCTCCATTACTTCTGCCTTCCAGAAATGGTATTTACCAGCACAGCCCCAACTCTGACATTTAATCTCCTTAAATTCTGATCAAGTTATTAACATTACCTGTATTTAACTGGATAATAGTCATTCTTCTTTATTTCAACACTGAGGGGAAAACTTAACAAAACGACCTCTCTATGTTACCCAATTTACATGAACTAAACCCCTCAGCTTCTATATTCAGATCCAAAGCATCTAAACTACAAGCTATGCTGGACCCGGGCAATTCAGATACCGACCCATATGAATACAAAAAGCATTAATTCCCATCTTCCTTCCTATAAATGAGGCTACTGGGTCATATGAATTCTAAACGTCCCTTTTTCTGTAAAGGTAGGTTTCTTTAATTTCGTAGCAGCCCTATGCCAGTTTTTGTCATTTCTGTTGTCAAATATTTGGTGACCTTTTGGTTGCTGGGATCATGAGTTGCTGCTGTGAATATTGGTATGTTATGAGGGTGTCTATAATGTGTTATTTGCAAAAGATTACGTTGGCATGAAAATATTCACAAACAACCAGAATTATACACAAATTAAGAATTAACTACTATGACATATAAGCACATCATTTATACTTGTGAAAAATAAAATTAATTTATAAAGTGCTAACAGTGCTTGGTAAAAACAGAATTCCCACCTTTTTTTGCTTATTGGAAATCAGAGAATATAAATATCAACAGATAACTTTAATAGTTATTATCATTTCTACATTTTAGAGTATGGATTAAACACATGCATGTGTAATAGTAGACTGGTAAGTATGTAATAATCAACTTTCCAGGAAATAAGGCTTTGATTTTTTAGTGCTTGCCAATTTCTATAGTATAAATACTCCTACCTTGGCTGATTTTGAGCTAAAAATGTGAGGTCAACTATTTTGTAAAACTTCTGATAATTTAACAATGAGTCTTTATGAATCAATAAATGTTGGCTCTAACACAATACTGCATCAATATCTGAAACAGAAATATACATATACACACACCAAAAATATGTATATACACACACAAATGTGACAGCAGGCATAAAAGGAAAACTTAAATATAGTTAGTAAGCAAATTGATTTCTTCAAAGTTTATGGTGGTTCTTTCTAATGGTCAGAATTTCACTTCATGTCACCTATATTTCTAACCACATATCTTACTTAATTGCCTCTGAGGTGCCTTATAGAGTAACACTAATGGTTTTTATTTTTTTATTGGTTGTTCAAAACATTACAAAGCTCTTGACATATCATATTTCATACATTAGATTCAAGTTGGTTATGAACTCCCATTTTTACCCCAAATACAGATTGCAGAATCACATCGGTTACACATCCACATTTTTACATAATGCCATATTAGTAACTGTTGTATTCTGCTACCTTTCCTATCCTCTACTATCCCCCCTCCCCTCCCCTCCCATCTTCTCTCTCTACCCCCTCTACTGTACTTCATTTCTCTCCTTGATTTTTTTTCCCATTCCCCTCACAACCTCTTATATGTAATTTTGTGTAACAATGAGGGTCTCCTTCCATTTCCATGCAATTTCCCTTTTCTCTCCCTTTCCCTCCCACCTCATGTCTCTGTTTAATGTTAATCTTTTCCTCCTGCTCTTCCTCCCTGCTCTGTTCTTAGTTGCTCTCATTATATCAAAGAAGACATTTGGCATTTGTTTTTTAGGGATTGGCTAGCTTCACTTAGCATAATCTGCTCTAATGCCATCCATTTCCCTGCAAATTCCATGATTTTGTCATTTGTTAGTGCAGAGTAATACTCCATTGTGTATAAATGCCACATTTTTTTTATCCATTCATCTATTGAAGGGCATCTGGGTTGGTTCCACAGTCTAGCTATTGTGAATTGTGCTGCTATGAACATCGATGTGGCAGTATCCCTGTAGTTCGCTCTTTTAAGGTCTTCAGGGAATAGTCCGAGAAGGGCAATAGCTGGGTCAAATGGTGGTTCCATTCCCAGCTTTCCCAGAAATCTCCATACTGCTTTCCACATTGGCCGCACCAATTTGCAGTCCCACCAGCAATATACAAGAGTGCTCACTTCGGCAGCACATATACTAAAATTGGAACGATACAGAGAAGATTAGCATGGCCCCTGCGCAAGGATGACATCAGTGGTTTTTAAATGCATCAGCATTTACCATACAATTAGTTATGGCCATATGTTTGGTGTCTGGGGAAAAACAAAAAAAGCAGGCCAGATTTGAGAACTCAGATAGCAGACCTCTTAGAAATTTCATAATCTTATCTTCTTATCATCCTCACGATAAGAATGCCTATTGGTGAATGAAGACAGTGCTTACTTGGGTAGACTCACATATTCCAAATGCAGAGAGAAAGCACTTAGTTCTCAGTACACCATTAATCTCACCTGTTTAATAAGTCTGCTTTTATTCATCCCAGCCTTCTTCTCTAATGGTGCAAAATTCTAAGGAGAGAAGTTGACTGGAAGAATCCCTAACGCTCCATCCATCCATCATCTATGTAAACTGGAAAGCCCAAGCCCTAAGCAAAATGGCAAAAGGTCCACATAACAGAAAAGCAATGAGCTGACATCTAAAAGAGCGAGGCAGAGAGTGCAGGCACAGCACAACTCCACCCATACGTACCGACATGTGACCAGCACCCTCCAGTATTGTCCAACATGGCGCCTCTAAGTGCTTGTCTGCTGCTATTGGGAAAATAACAGCATAACATAGAAACATGGTGATATTCATTGAAATGTTGAATGCCTATCACTTTTTTTCTAGCAATTCCACTTTCAGGAAATTATGTTAGCAATAAACTCCCACTTTTGTGAAAATGTGTTCATGAAAGGACATTTGCTATAGAGCTGTTTGCAATCACATCTACGTTGTCCTGGAACAGACAGACCACTGGTAAATAGGGACAGAGGAATAAAATTCAACCGTCAGGGTAGAGGCAAGTCTTTATATACTGAAATGAAATAAACCTCAAGATGTATTAAGTGGAAAATAGTAGCATAAAAATGCATAGAGTATGGAACCATGTGGTTTAATACCCAAAATATAAATATTTCTGTAAACAGAACCTATCAATGGTAGTAATACAATTGCCTGTAAAAATGTTTGTCTCTGAAGAGGTCAACGCTTTTTTATCATTTTCATTATCAGTTCATAAGTAAGTTCTAAGAAGTAAAAACTTCTAGAAGCTCTTGTCATGACTTGTCAAATGTTCCAGGTTCAATGTTCCTTAGACTCTCATTACATTTTTTTTCACAAAAAGACTTCAGAGTCACCTGGCACAAAAGGATCTACATTTTCACCCACTTTGAAAATGAATCTCTCCCACTTGTTCTCTGACTGGAATCCTCCCTCCTTTTCTCTCAAGAGACCTCTGAAGGCACTGTCCCCAAAGTAATGGTCACTGTTGTCCCCTAAAGTTTGCACCTGAGAAAGGTAAATGTTATTTTTGCCTTGAGAAAAACTCTATGAGCCAAGAAAAAGTTGTGAGAGATTGCAAGGGGCCATGCATTTGCCCAAAAATGTGAGAAGCTGAGGGTTGTAGGGGTTATTTCCTGTATACCCAGCAATGTTACAGTCTTATAAAATCAGAATTTACATAGCATGGGCACTCTCATTACTAACTTAATGTAAAAAAAAATACGATATATATATATATATATATATATATATATATATATATATATATATATGCGTGTGTGTGTGTGTATACAAAGAGAAAAAAAATGTGAACAATGTCAGAAACACCAAAGTTACTTCATCTTTATTAATCTGCTTTTCTTGATCAACATTTGCCTATCCTCAATATTTTTCACTAAACCCCAGGTTAACACCTCAAAAGTGAACAGATAATCAGTTAAATCCACCAGTTAAGAGGCTTATCTATTTGTCCAACCCTGGGCAAAGTACATCTGAAACAAATGAAACTACATAAGCCTATCCCTGGAGAAACTGAAAATCTTCAAGCAGCAGCCCTGCTTCTCAGGAAACTTTGGTGTGGTGTACTTACACCCAGTTTCCCTAGGAATATGGAGTTTCTTTTATTACTTTCCCCATGCAAAGAAATTACAAAATTGATTTATCTAGAATTGGCAATATACACATATACACGTTAGAATGTTGAAAAGCAATAATCGTGCTGCATCTAGACCCAGCTGTTTCAAATAAACTAATATGGAAAAAAAGTACTAGCAAAGAAAGCTGAACTCATTTTCAAACCATAGCGTATGATCATACAACTCTCAGAAACTAATTGCTAAAAATATTCTTAGAGGAGCTAGGAGTGGTGGTGCATACCTATAATTCCAGGAGGTTGAGGCAGGAAGATCACAAGTTCAAGGCCAGCCTCAGCAATTTAGCAAGGACCTAAGCAACTTAGTGAGACTGTTTCAAAATAAAAAGTGAAAAGGGGCTGGGCATGTGGCTCAGTGGTTAAGTGCCTCTGGGGTCAATTCCCAGTACCAAAAAGAAAAAAGAAGAAGAAGTATTCTTAGAAAGTGGGAACCCTGAGAAAGCCTAAAAAAAAGACAATTCTCTGAATTTGGAATAACTGTATTGAAAACATCAATGAGGACCATTTTGCAATCACTCTGGTTTTGCAATCCCTTCTCATGCTTCCTGAGCCAGGCTCTATAAGTTGCCTTCTTCCTAACTGCCCACACCTGATGGAACTGGCTTCCCAGAGGGAACAAAGCACTCACTAATCAATACAGTCTTCAGTCTTCAAAAGGGAATCTGAAGACAGTAATACATCTTGGTTCTTGCGGGTGTAGCAATAAGAGCCTTGCCTTTGGTTCTGGAAAAAATTATCTGTTAGTGAAGGAATTTTCTTTGTATTTCAAAGGAATTTGGAAAAGGTGTCTGACTGTAAGTATGAAAAAGATAATGGTGCATCCCCCCACCCACCTTGACTATGCATAATTAAAACTTAACCCAAACAACAGTTTCATTTTGGCACCTGAACAACAAATAAAATGAAAGGAAATACAATCAAATTCTAATTGTTAACTTAATGACTACTACATTGCTTATAATATTATTTTTCCCAAAATACTTCTGATGCCCCTATTTCTTGGTGTCCTATGTGCATTCCTGGTGTACTTATTGGGTAATCCAACACTGGTTTTCATAACTTCCCCCCATCAGCACCATAATAAACAAGCAGAAGGACTCAAAATCCAGATGTTAGCCAAATCTACAATAAAAAAAAAGAAAATTTAAATCTTGTTTTTGATTTTCCTCAAGTACAATAATGCTTTAGCAAATTATCCTATAATATGATTTAAATATAACAATGCTCTAGGTACTGACCAATAACATTATAAATTAAGGAAATGGATAGTTCTTTACTAACAATCTCAATTATTATAATAATATTCATCTAAGAGGTTTTATTTTGGGTAACAAGTCCCAAGAGTGCCTATTAACAAAAGGTATTTACTTTGATATTCTTAAAATTTCATCTTCTATATTCTAACACTAAGGTACTTTTCCATATTTTACAAGTTTTAGGGGTAGATTTGGCTGACATGTCAACTGACTGATTTTTATTAACAAAGCCTAGCAAAGTAAATGGTCTTACTAAAATTCTTTTAAAATGATGGCTGAATTATAAACAAAAACATTGATCCACTAGCTAATACTCAAATTAACTGATTTATTGATGTATATATTGAATCTCCTCAACAAAGACTCTTACAAGTTAGAATTTACTAAAATGAAGGTACCATTGCTGAATCCATCAATAATTAATTATATTGCTTTTTAAAAAAATTTCTTAAAATGAGTAACCTGGAAGAAGAGCACAGTAAACATCACTACAAACATTTGCAATTTTCTTTCTTATTTATTCTTCATTTAACAGCAACTTCATATTATAAAAATCTTCCATTCCATTGATGTTTGTACAATGCCTAAAACTCATCTATATCAAAGTAAATACATTCAGAACTTCAAAAGTCAGTTTTAATTTCTTATTCTCTTTTGAGTTTACACTGAAAAGACAGTTTATATCTGAAAAGACATAAGCAGTGACATCTAACAACTGTGTTGAAGTAACACCAATCTATTAATGCCACCAAATAATATATCAAAATTGACGATTTTACCAAAGAATCATACAATGGGAACACAATTAGCATGTGTATTGTACACACCTTATAGAGTCCTTAGATTCCCAAGTGTCTGAAAGACAGCACATTCTGGTTACGATGCTCACTTGGTAAGACCAAAGATAAGAAAGGAAAAAAACTGATGCCAATTCCTAAGAAGCATCCAATGATACACAAAGCCTTAATTATGTTCCCCCTTTAACTTTCCGCCTGTCTCCTACCCTTAAACAGTTCAGCTCCTAAGACTTAACCCCCTCTAGAAATCCATTAATCAGTCCCTCCAGTGCCTAGACCTGTTCTGGAAGCCAGGCTCAATAGAAGCCTATGTAATGGAACTCAGCACAGTATCAGGTGTATGTTAGCGCTTAAGTAGAGAAACACAGAATGAGAAATCACAACTGAAAGAAATTTAGGAGAAAATGGAATGAGTTTCTAAAGTAATAGCCACAGTGAACAATAACTTACCACTAAAATGCATTTCTCCATCAAGTCTGTACTCATTTGCATTAGCCAGATACATACCATTGCTTTCCACCTTCAGGAGTGACCTGGAGCTAATTTTAACTAAAATGAACTCTAAAATGTTTTGCCTCCCACCCTCCATTGGATGCCTACTGGTGTGCAACAAAGACCAACCAATGTTGAAGCAGAAAAAAACTCACTGGTAGGAACTCAGGCATGAAGAAGTAGGCTTAGAAGACAAGTAGGTACAGAAGAACCATCAGCCATGAGCACAGCCAAATGCCACCCATAGGGGGCACTGTTGAACACTTCCTGAAACTCACCACAGGTCACTCCATTAGTGCTGCTAAGCCACTGCTATATCCAGAATGAATTCTTCACTCTTCCTGCTTCTTTGAGTTTCCAACAGCCAATGAAAAGCAGGAGAGATAGATTATAGGTCATGGACCGACATCCTGGATGAAAAGGGTGCTTGGGAAGCCCAGCATCTGCCATTTTCATTCCTGTAACTGGAGGTGAGCTCTGCCTCCATCAACACTCAAAAAGATAATGATTTCTCAAACCTAGCCAGGATATTCAGATGC